AGCCATCGCGTCGGTGTACACGGAGGTGCGCCGGTCGCAGCGGCGGTGGGCCATCTCGGGCACTTCTTCGCGGCTCCCGACGGCGTCAGACTCGAGGACTCGCGTGTACGCTTCGCTCGTCTCCAGCTGCTGGTCGAGCTCGAGCACGACATCTTGGAGGTCGTCGACTTGAGCTTGGAGATCACAAACTTGGGTCTCGTGCGCCAACAGCAGCAGCTCGTCGTTGCCAGCCAAGTCGCGCTGAACTTGCTCCAGCTGCTCCACCAGCCGGCCAAGCTCTTGGTCGTGCTGCGCGTGGTCGTCGAGATCGTCTTGAAGCTCGGTCACGTCGGATTGGAGCTCGGCCACGTCGCACTGGAGCTGATCGCGCGTGCGAACGAGTGCTGCGACTTGATTCGCGCGGCCGTCGAGGTCTTCTTGGAGCATTTGCACTTGCTCGTCCTTGCCTTGCATGGCCGTTGCATGAGCGCGGGCTGCACCGACTTGAGCTGCCTCGGTACCACCACAAGCTTCTTGGCTGCCAACAGCGCTGGCAGCCAGAGATAGGCTTGTCGGCTTGCTTCATGGATGCGCCCCTTGCACGCGTTGATTCGGCGCTGACATTGCCTCGATGTATGGCGGGGTTGTGTCTTCTGGTATTGCTGGCTGAGCAGGCTGTCGTTGGCTGCGTCAAGATTTCAGGTGCTTTGGATCGGTGGCACTGCATTCGTTGGAAAATCAACCAATCACGTGCGAGTCTGTCGTCGGGATATTGGACCAATCCCAGTCGAGCTTGCTTGGACGGAAACAACAAATCCACGGCGATGGCAACGCCCGAGGCCGAGACCGCGACGCAGACAGGGACCGCGGTCGGCGACCAGGAGACGCCGAGCCAGTGGAAGAAGGTGACGACGCAGGACGCGTACGAGGCTCCGCGCGCCGAGAGCCCGAAGAAGCTCGTGCTCTGCAGCTTTGACGAGGACGAGACGCAAATCTGCTTCCGCTGCATGTCCCAAGAAGACTACCTCTCGCAGACCGTTGATACGAAGCGCAAGAGTACGTTATATGCATGCGATGGCTCTAACTCGCATGGCTAGCGCTCATGACGCTCGAAGAGCGCAAGCTCATCATTACGGCGCATCGCCCAGACGAGGCAGACGGCGACGACATCGAGAGCGGTAACGAGTCCGAGGACATGTGGGTTGGCGGCACGAGCTTGCTCGCGCAGTGGGAGACAGATGTGTGCAAGTCCAACGAGCGGCAAAGCCAAGCCATTAGCGAGCTACCCACATGGACGCCGTCGACAGCATTCACTCCCACCAACCCCGTTGCGAGCGATGCCGAGACCGTGGCCAGCGAAGACGACGACGATGCAGCGACCGAGACCAACAGTGCGATGGCGTCGGATTCAGAAAAGACGGCGTCGCCGCCGACCGAGCCCTTCGAGTTGCCAGGCGACGATATCTCGAGTGCGGATGAGCCAATACAAACAGAGCCTCTCGAGCTGCCAGGCGACACAACCCCAACCGCTGACGAGCCTATGCATACCGAGTCCGTGCCCACAGCACCAATCGTCCCAGAGATCCGCGCAGAGCCTCCGTGTCTCCCTACAACCGAGATGGTCCTGGACGACGGCCTCTCGTTCCACGAGAAGCTCCTCGCCGCGTCCCACAAGGCGAAGAATCTGCCGGTTCCCAAAGCCAAAAAAGGTCTGAAGCGAGGTGCCGCGTCGGACGAAGTCTCGTCGTCGCTCAAGCGGCCACGCGCCTCCAAAGCCAAGCTACCTCCACTTGCGGACACACCGCAAGCGCCCGCGGACGATGCCAAGCACAACGAAAAGCCGCCCGACGAGCTGCGTCCTACACGGAGAGCGAAGTGTTTGAGGCGTCGCAATCGATGCCGCGCGTGACGCGACGCCTCTCCGAGACCGAGTCGTTTCCCGAGTCGCTGGCGTCGACAGAGCTCTCGGTGGCAAGTGGCACGCCCGATGCGATCCGCGTCGTGCTTACAGGCATCGAGCCGACCGAGGCCATCCTGCGCAAGGTACGACTCTCTTGGCATGTGCTTAAGACGAAGAAACGCCGTAGATCCGAGCCATTAAAGGCGCCGTCTTTGAAGACGATGTGACCAGAGGCACCCACTTGGTGTCGAACGAGCTCAAACGCACGGTCAAACTCTTGTGTGGCATTTCGTGCTGCCTCCACATCCTCGACGAAGCGTGGTTGCGCACCTCGGCCAAGATGCGGCGTCCCGCCAACGAGATCGAGTACAGTCTCCGGGACGCAGAAAAGGAAGCCAAGTGGGGCTTTGAGCTCCAGCACACCATGTACGACTGCAGCTTGGCGTCGCGGCAGTCGTTTTGGCCGCCCACACGTTCTTTATTACGCCCCATGCCGACGTCAAACCGCCGAGTGCCGAGCTTGAGACGATTGTCCGGCTCGCGGGCGGCAACGTACGTTGCATAGTGCCGTGCAGGAGCCAGCGTATGATGTAGGTACTGGCCAAGCCCGAGCGCGGCTGCATCGTCATTACGGCGCCGAAAGCGATTGCGACCAAGGCGATGCAAAAGAAGATCCAAGGCGCGGCGCACGTGTGCTCGACAGAGCTCATCTTGCACGGCATCTTGACGCAGCGCCTCGACGTGGCGGCACACGCCTTGTCGTCGTACAAACGATAGAAGGACACGGAAAAACAAAGTCGGTGTTGATGTACACGGTGTGCTTAGTCGCGGTCGTGCCGAGACCGGCGCGGCTTGGTGCTCTCGATGCGGTGGCCGTGGACGAGGTACTGCATCGCGTGAAAGCACTTGTGGACGCGTCTATCCGTAACAGCATGAGATCAACCATCGATGGGCACAGCAACGAACAAGAGATCCGTGTAGTCGACGGCATGCATCGTGGGTTTGGCCGGCAAGCTCTCGTTAAGAGGAAGCGCGTCAGCAGCGATGCTTGGAGGGAGCGTGTCTGCACTGAGGCGGCGGCGCTTGTTCTGGCGCGGGTCCGTCGGCCGGTTATCGTTGGCTGCCGCTGGCTTGTCGACATTCCGCTGGGGTGTTGCGAGCACGGTGTCGGGCCCATCGCAGCTCGAAGCAGGAGCTGATTGCACGAGTAGAGTCGGCGTGGGAATCTGCGGCGCGGGTTCAAGTGACGGTACACAAGGTGTTGGCTGCACATTATGCTCTGGCATAATGGCGTCTGATGTGGCCTTCGCCCGAGCGGTAGGAAGCGGCTCCGGGTGGCAAGGAAGCGGCTCCGCATGCACCGGGGTTTGCGGCGGCGTGCATGACTTGGTCTCTTCCTTGGCCGATGTGCCTTTGCGTGGCGGCTCGTCGGGTGCTTGCATCGAGAGTGCATGCAGCTGCTGGAGCCCAAGCATGGCGTCGAGCACGTTCGGCGTCAGATCTTGGATCGGCATTGGCTTTGGCGTTGGCTTGGGGGCTGGCGTTTGCTTGGGGGCTGGCGTCGGCGTCGCGATCTCCGGGGTCGTTTCCACGACAGGAAGAGGCTCTGCTTCGGGAAGCCCCAGTTGGCTCATTGGAACGATGGGCTCGATGACCGGCGGCGGCGCCTTCGCTTCGGGGGTCGGCGGCGAGGTGATGCGCTGGACGATCATGCATTTGAGCAGATGGCCTTCCGGGATCAAGATAAACCAGTAGTCGGGCGAAAGCGTCGCCACGCCAGCCTACATCGCAGTGTCAGCTTTGCCATTCGCAAGTCTCGTACGCGGTCCCGCGACGCGAGGTACGTCAAGAATTGGTTAAAGTGGTCAAACGAGCCCGTGTTGGCAAACGAGACGTAGAACTCTGGGATCTACACGTGCATGAGCCATGCTGGCGCCGACACCAAGTACCTTGCTGCACGAGCTGTCGATAATGTGGCGCAGCTCGGGGAGGCTCACGCGCTTCGTCACGACGACCTCTTGGCTCCTACGCCGCACCACGCGTGTGAGCTGCGGGACCTGCGGCAGCGACGTACAAGAGGTCGTAGATGGTCTCGATCTTGGCCTTGGCCTCAGCCGAAAGCGTGTCTTCCTGGACCTCGCACGTGAAGCTCCACTTGCCCTTCTGGACGTTGAACGTGGTCATGGCAGCGTGCAAAAGTCCTAAATTCGAATTGTTCGTTTAGGATCATGTCCCATTTCGAGTTTGACTCCTCTGCTCGTGCTTAAACGCGTTGAATGCAGTTTACCCAGTAGGTTTTTCAAAACCATAGGTTTTACTCCAGTCATGTCCGATCAACGACCACGTGAATGAGAGCTAGTCAAATCTAGTCGAGGTGCCTTTGTCTACCTACCTGTTATGAATATACCAGTATGGCAAGATTGTAGTTTAGTTGATCGATCGGCTAGAGCTCCGACTATAATAGAGCAGCTTGTGGTCGTACTGGTGTATCCTGCACGAGCAAAGCTGCAGGCGCAACGCGAACCTGTCACTGGCAAGGACCCCATCGTGGAAGACATTGGCGAGATAAGATCAAACGACGCGCGCCAACTTGAAGCAACGGCAAGTTGGCGCGGATTTGGTTTGGTGGTATGGTATCCGGACATCGTCCGAGCGTATCCGGACTCTTGCAGAGGATTCCACGACCGAATTGTATTGCGGATGGAAACCGCGATGGACGTACTCGACCGCTTCGTCGCGGCCGAGGAGAGCGTCGTGGACAAGCTCTTCCGCAGTCGCGGGCAGACGCTGCGCCTCGAGCTTCAGTCCCAGCGCATGCTCTCGCCCGAGTCACAGAACCAGTCGTCGGGCCTGGCCACGTTTCCTTGCCTCCTACTCTTCCCACCGCTCGACGCTGCGCATCGGGCGCTCCTGGCTGGCCTGCGCCTCGTCAAGACGCAGTCGCCGACGCTTAGCGACCGCGCAAGGAGCTCGGCCGAGCTCCTCTTTGAGCGCGCGCTCGAGTTCAAGACGCTTCATGCAACCTATGCGTGGTACCATCAGCTCATGCCGCCGCCGAGTGACCCAAAGCTCGATGCGCTCTTCCGCCTCCCGCTCGACTGTCTAGAGGCGTACGCGGTGTGTATGGACGCGCTCGCACCGTTTGCCGAGCGCCCGGACGACTGGTATCTCATGTGCGACCGGCTTCACGACGCGTTCTCGGACATTACGACCCAACGAACGCGCGCGATGGACATGCTGGCGCTCGAAGAAGGCCTCGGAAGCGGCATCGACCTCGTAGCGCGCACGCTCATTGCTCAGAACGTGGTGTCGATCCAAATGGCATCCGATGCGTCGCTGCAGACAGGCACCTTGTACCTCTTTGAGGACCTCTGCCTCATTGTCGACACGAACGGACACGACCTCTTCCAGCTGCAAGCCGCCGAAGTCTGCAAAGCTCTTCGCATTCCCCACACGCCCGACTGTTTTGTACTCACGCAAGACGCGCACTGCACGATCCTCGCGGCGCCGGCCGTCGTGACCTCGCTCTTGACGTGCATCAACGAGCGCTCTCTCGCGCCGGAGACGTTTGCTTTCGACTTGCACTCGCTGTTGCATACAATGGACAATGGGCTCCCGACCGACTGGCTCGTCCCGAACTCGGAGGCCGCACAGCAGGCGCTTGTCCGAAGCGACCTTGTCTGGCTGTACGAGAAGGACCGGTCGCGCCCAACGCTGTGCCAGTTCTTCCTCCTCCACGACATGATTCTGTACGGCCAAGTCGTGGGCATGGCCCACTGCATGTACATGGGGTACTTTCTAGGCGAGTACGTGTCGCTGCGCCACGACGTTGACGCCGTCGATGGCCGATTGGAGCTTGTTGTGATGCACGCCGAGACGCAGACGGAACTCTTCGTGGCGCTCGAGCCGCTGGATCCCGCGGCGACGGCACCATGGCAAGAGCACATTGCTTCGTTTGTGCGCGTGCCCGAGTCGACGGTGCCCCTGGACGAGTCGTCCGTGACGATGATGCATGACGCGTCGTCGGTGACGACGATGGCATCGACGGCCGACGCCATCCCGTCACCGCCGTCGTTTGCGTCACCAGAAACCACGTGGCACAAGAAGAAGCCAAAAGCGTTGACGCCGTTGTCGACCGAGACGCACTTGCCGACGCCGATGACAGAGACGCGCGCGAACGACTCGAACGACGATGCCAGCACACGAGAGACGATAGAAGGCGAAGGCCCGACGACCATCTTGACGTCGATCGTACCAATCGCAGCTCGTGGTGCGGACCCGATCCTCGATGACACGGTCGCGAGTACGCCAGAGACACCCGACGCGCGGCCACCCCGGGTGCTCGCCATGTCCGAGGCCTCTCTCAACGACCAAGCGGGTAAAGACGAGACCAAGACGACGCGCCGCGCCAAGAAGAAGCTCTTGGACGAGACAGCGCCGCTCGTTCTCGAGATGGACGATGATGTACCGCTCGCCCGGAACGGGATCACCAAGGCCACGAAAGCCAAGCCCACCGCCAAGAAGAAAGCGCCGGCTAATAAGAGCAGGAAAAAGGCAGCGCCCGTGACGCCGCGGATCGCGCCAACCGCACCCGACGTGACAACGACGCCAGCACCCGTGTTTACGACGGCGGTGCCCACGAGCAGCGGCAAGAAGCGCAAGGCCAAAGCCACTCTGCTAAGCCCCGTGCTTGGCGCGCCGGCCATTGACGAGTCGGACGACGATGCGCCTCTGCGGTCCAAGATGGCCAAGACCGCCGTCGACGTTCCGCCGTCGACGCAAGACATGGAAGGCAGCGCGATTCAGATCTTATGCCGCATTGCGGACGCGGCGTCGTCGTCGTCGTCTGTCCCGACGGCGCTGCGCATTGTGCTCACGGGCTTCGAGTCGACCGACGCTCTGCTCTTCGAGGTCTCTCGCATATATCCTTGGACGAGAATCTCAGCCCATCGTAGATCGCGGCGATCGCATCGGCGCAGTACGAAGACGATGTGATGGCGGCCACGCACATCATTGCGCCGCGCGGCAAGTTCAAGCGCACCGTCAAAGTGCTCTGCGGCATCTCGCGCTGCCTGCACATTTTGGACGAAGACTGGCTGCACGCGTCGGCGGTGCTCGGCCATGCGGCGCCCGAGGCGCAGTACTGCCTCAAGGACGAAGAGAAGGAGGCGTTGTGGGGCTTTACACTACAGCGGACCATGTACGAGTTTAGCTTGACCCAGCGCCGAAGCCTCTTGCACGGGTATTCGTTCTACGTCGCGGCGCACAAGAGCGTGCTGCCGCCGCCAAGCGAGCTGACCAAGATCATCACGTGCGCGGGCGGCGAGGTTCGTGTCCTCTGAGTTGTGCGAGGCGCTATGGTGGTGCGACTAGATGACGTCGGGACTGCCCAAGCCCGATACGATTGTGATTGCGTCCAAGGAAGCGGTCGCCACCAGCGCCGTGCAAAAGCAACTGCAGCACATGAGCCGCGACAAGTGCTTCACGGTCGAGTTTCTCCTCATTGGCATTTTGCAGCAGACGCTGCAGTGGGACGCCTTTCGGATCACATGCCCACTGCCACGAAAAGGGCGATGATAACACGTAGCATTAGTTAGTACAAGTTGTAGTCGTCCAGTCACAGCCGCGCGACGAGCGGCGGCGTCGCAGGCTCGCGGGGAAAGATATAGCGCTGCTCCTACACACACGATGAGTCAAGAGACGAGGCGGCTGCATCGTACGAGCGCCAGTCCGTGCTCGTCGGCGAAGCTCAGGCGCTTGACGGGTCGCGTCGTCGGTGGCATGTTGTCGGCTGGCCTTTCCATCCCGCCGGATACGAGATCAGGACCCAATCAGAGTGCAGATTCCTAAAGGAAGAGACGACGAATCTTGGTCGACATTCATGGGCCTCGAGGTACGACAAGGTAGGAAGGCCTGCTCACTCACGTACAGCAAACATCATTGCTAATAGTGGAATGCCACAAAAATGTATCAAAGCTCTCTCCAAGACGTTGTTGACAGCAGCTTTGACAGCCCACCGGGCGTCGTGGAAGCTGTCGAGGTGTCTTGGTCGATTAGCGATCGCACGCCATATGGCACCAGAGCACGCTACGCGAGCACGATGCCTGGTCAAAGCGGGGGTATTGCACCAAACCATCACCGTCCGGTAGAGCAACTACATTGGTAAGACCAGCATTGTCCAGGAAGGGCACGAGGGCAGTCAAGTCGACCGTGTCTCAGTGACCTTCTGCGTGGTAAAGGGGCCGACGCGTGAAAGATGAACGCGGACGCTGGCGAGAATCGCTTTCGATCGCTTCGCCTCAATCGCATGCTATGTCCCGAGTCGCCCAGAGGTCGGTAGCCCAGGACAATGAACTTGTGTTCAGCGAGCGAGTGTAGGTGCGTGCATTGGTGTAGGATTCATTGACAAGCACCACCCAGTCGCCTCTTCCTTTCTTGCGAGACGAACATGCCTTGTTGCGGGCCGTGGATAGCTATCTGCAATGCTAACCAAGATTGTGCAGCCATGTGGGCGTGTCGATCGAGCGGCGTCGGGGCTTGCTACGCTGCAACGAGCCGCAAGCACGGGGGCGATGCGACGCACATCATCTCACTCCCGACGTCTCTCACTCCCGACGTCGCTTGCCCACGGCGCTTCCGCGCGTTTATTTCATTGCATACAAACAGCAAGATACTCGTCAAAAATACAATGCACTGCGCGCGCGATCTTGGTGTCTCGTTCGAGACGATTGAAGGGCCTATACCGCGTCGTGCCCACACCGGCCGACGCGTATTTGGAATCGAATGGCCTTTCTCTTCCGCCTCCTCGGCGACCTCATCTCGACGCGTGACGAGTCGAAGGCGCCGTCGATCGCCAAGCGCCAAGGCCCGAAGAAGACGCATCAGTACACGCCGCCCGTGCCGCGGCCTCATATCGAATCGGCCTCGTATGCGACCGACTACTTTGACGCGATCGTCGAGCTCAGCGGCCACGACGCGGCGTTCGACCGCAGCTCGTCGATCAGCGACGTCATGGACTACAACGACCCACTGACGCCAAGTCCGATGCCCAGTGCGCTCTTCAGCAAGCAGTACTACATCCCGAGCGACAATACGACGGACGACGACGTCATTGCAAGCAACCACAAGTGGAACTCGCTCTCGAAACCCGATGCGTTCCTCGACCAGATCCTCATTGCAAGCACACAAGCGGTCAACTACAGCGTGAGCTCGCAGACCAAGAGCGAGATTGCGCGCGAGATCCTTCAGCAAATCGTCGCGCCATCGAGTGGAGACGACGCGCCACGGTCGCTTCCGCGCCTCCACTCGGTGAGCCCGCAAGTGAGCGCGGAGGCTGAGACGCTCAAGAAGGCGACGGTAAAATCGCGCCGACGCAGCTCCAAGTGGCTCTTCGAGTACCAAGAGACGTCGCAGATGGACCTCAACAGCTTCCAGCACCAAGTCGACGAAAGGCTCTCGAGCTCGATGGAAATAGACGAAGCGCCGCTTCTGTTCGAGCCGCCGCCGCGGTCGTCGCAGAAATCGCTTTCCACGCGCAACCACGCGCTCACGATTGCAAAGGAAATGAGCTCGCGCAACAACTCGTCCAAGCTCCTGCAATCAACGTCTGATGGCAAGACAACGCTGATGCCAGCGTCGACGCAGCGCAGCCTTTTCCAGCGTCAGACCAGCCCGCCTGTGGAGCCAACGGCGCTGCCGATGCGCTATACGCGCTCGGTGCCTCAGCAGACGGACGCCGCGCCACCCGTGTCCCGCCTGCGCTCCAAGCGCGACGTCACGAAAGCGCCGATCGTGTCGATGCGGTCCGCGGCCGTAGAGACCAAGTACGAACGCCAACCGAGCCATGTGCGGGAGACAGCGCCCCACCTCCGCCGGCAGGTTGGCGACATGGCCCCGCGTCGGCAGTCGTCTCAGGAGGCGACAACGAGACGTGTGACACCGCGCCGTCAGCACTCGACCGCCGAGGCGATGCCCATGACACCGCGCCGTCACCTTTCTCGCGAGCCGACGACGCCCCGTCGCCAAGCCTCGCTGGAGGCCCAGACTCTGACAACACCGCGCCGGCAGCAATTTTCCATTGAGCGTGCATCAATGGCGACATTGTCTCGTCACGAGTCCGACGTCCCGGTGCGTCGCCCAAGCTTTGGAGAGCCTACACAATCACGCCGCCCGAGCTTCGGGGAGCCAATGCCGACGCGGCAGCCCAGCTACAGAGAGCCGTCACGACGCCCCAGCTTTGGTGAGCGTCCAAGCTTTGGCGAGCCGACACCCAGCCAGCGCCGGCTACAACCCCCTTCGCAAGTGTCACGCTTGAGCTACGATGGCTACGAGCACGTTCCGTCCCAGCCCTCGAGTCAATTGCGCCGGACGAGTCTCAGCTTCATCGAGGTGGAAGGAGCGCCCCGCGACGCATGGCATACTCTGACGCGCGGTACGGCCATAATGAGTACCTGAGTTTGCGCCCGCAGATCGCGTCCAAGCTGCCAATGGAGCCGCAGTATTTGCACAAGGTCCGCAGCAGCGATGCGCGCATTCACCGACCAACGTACATCGAAAGCAGCAGCGAAGACGAGCCGACAGACATGCTCTCGCAGTTTCAAGCCATTCGGAACCGCACCGACCCGGTGGTCCAAGCCCGACTCGACCTCAACGCGCGGCTCTCGGAGGCCGTCCAGCGCATCCCGACCGAGCGGCTGCCATCGACACGACCCAAGACGCCGAAAAGCCGCAAGAAGGTACGATTCATCGAGTAAAGTAGCCATACAAGTTGTAGACGTAGTAATAGTTTAATAACAGCAAGACCTTGATGCATAATCTGTCTTGTCTTCTCGAAGCTCAGAATACGTCTTGGACATGCTAAAGCCTGGCATCACTCGGCAGTAGTGGGTCGTCCCATGCTGCCAGCACAAACGGTTGCTTGTGCTGCGTGCGTCGCGGTAGCCCTTTGTTTATTTCACCCAGACACGTTGACGTCGAATTGACAACCCACGTTGTCTCGTGTTAAAGTGCAGCCACGGAGTGCGCTTGGCGTCATCTGTACGCGGCCACTCCGCTTGCCTGCATGAGAGAGGAAGGGCGGGAGGAAGAACCCAGCAGCGCTACCCGGTGGCATGCCAGGGCCACGATGCTGAAGAATGCCAACCAAGATACCCTTATAGACTCCATTGTAGATTCGAGAGCCATGCAGACGCTTGCAATTGCACTGATGAAACCTCGCGTCGCATCTTGGAATCTTGGATCACCTGGACCTGGCATAAAACATGATTCGCCAGCTAATTTAGCTGGAAGAGTCACTGTCGACAAGCACTGGTTTAGCTGCCCGCACGAGCCTGGCGAAGCGACTGATGATGGATGACCTTGATGAACGAGCGTCGTCGCGTTCCTGCGTCGCCATGGCGTGGCGCGCCCACGTTCGGCGCTTGGTTGAAGTGTGGATATCCGGATGTGAATACCGGATACGAGGATCTGTGGTGCGCTGGGCAGCCACTTTGGAAATCTTCCCGTCGTCTCCCGAAGGATCATCATGCAGCACCTCCGCTCGACCGTGCTCCGCGCCGCCCGCCACCAGCTTCGCCGCCCCGTCGCCGCCCGCGCCTTCCCGGCCCGCGCGACGTCCTTGGTCCCGAACATGATGAACGTGCGTGGCTTTGCCAACTTTGCCGCCGACGACGAGGAAGAGTTCGACTACAACGGCTTTGACTTTGGCGACGACGAAGACGAAGACGACAAGATCAAGTACCCTGCCCAGAAGGCCTTTGTCGGCCAGGTCGCGCCCTCGTTCACGGCGCCGGCGGTCATCCGCGGCGACATTGACGAGCTCTCGCTCGAGAGCTACCGCGGCAAGTACGTCGTGCTCTTCTTTTACCCCAAGGACTTTACGTACGTGTGCCCGACCGAAATCATCGCGTTCAACGACCGCGCCGCCGAGTTTGAGGCGCTCGACACGCAGCTCATCTGCGCGTCGATCGACTCGCCCGAAGTGCACTTGGCGTGGACGCGCTTGCCGCGCAACGTCGGCGGCCTCGGCAAGATGAAGATCCCGATGGTGTCGGATTTGACCAAGTCGATCGCGGCCAAGTACGGCTGCCTCAAGGAAGACGATGGCATTGCGTTCCGCGGCCTGTACGTCATTGACCGTGAAGGTGTCGTCCAGAACATCACGATCAACAACCTCCCGGTCGGTCGCTCGGTCGACGAAGTCCTTCGCCTTGTCAAGGCCTTCCAGTTCAACGAGGAGCACGGCGAGGTGTGCCCGGCCAACTGGCAGCCCGGCCAGGCCACGATCCAGGCCAACCCCAACGACGCGCAAAAGTTCTTCAAGAACGTCAAGTAAATCCGCGTCCATCGATGTACGCCTAAATCCCACACTACCTTGTGTGCTCTTCCGTCTTTGCTTGCGCTCGTCCACGCCTTTCGCCCCTATAAAAGGCCGGGACTTGAATTCCCGGTGTGCGCCAACACATCCTTCAAAGCAGCGCTGGCATTAGTACTAGTCAAAGAGCACGTCGGTCTTCTGAAGTGCGAGCTGCGCATACGGTTTGGTCGGCGCATCGTAGCGCTGCACCTATCGCAGCGCGTCCATATACCGGTTGTCTCTGGAGCTATGCTACCTCGTACACCACGCGCAGATCGGCCACGTCCAGCTCGCAGTCGTCCGACGTCGAGAGCGAGAGGCGGAGAAGGTCGCCCGCCGCCCACCCTCGCGTCGCGATCGAGCACACAACGGTATTCGGCTTGCGAAAGACACCGTTGAAGTCGCCAATGCCACCCTACACCAGTTGCAGCTTGGTCATCCGCTTCGACGCGTTGCCAAGCGACCTCTGCGATCGTGGTGATCGATGGCGACCAGCACTTGGCTCGGCGCAGGTGCAGCTTGAAGCACTCGGACGAGAACACGTCGAGCACCGAGATCTACGCCGAGCGTCTCAGCCTCTCTAGCGCCTACGTTCCAGCACAGACGTTGGACGCCGTGAGGCGGAGCGTCCACACGAGCCGGAAGGCGCCTGCGTCCGCCATGTAGATGTCGGCAAGACGTGCTTCTTTGGCGTGGTAGTGGTCGGTCTGATGGCAGTACGCCAGAGGGTCCCACGCCACGCGGTGCGGCGCGAGGGCCTTGTAGTAGAGGTGGCGGGCATCCACCTGATCGTCATCTATCATTGCCGCTGCATGTTCAGGTGCTTGCGGCCCTTACATGATGGTGCTCCTCGTGCATCGCGTCGAGGCGAAGCTCCACGCGCAGAGATGGGTCGCGCGCAACGACAAGGTACTGGACGCAAATGCTGTCGCCTGCCATGACAACGGCGCTGACAGCGTGCTCCAGCTCTACCCAAGCAAGAAAGACTCCCGTTGATGCGTCGATGAGGGTTGCTTACGGGTGGACCACGGTGCACGGCCGTCGACGAGCACTTCGGGCTCGACGTCGCGCGCGTCACATGAACTACGCGGCATGCGTCGTCATTGGGGTCCGTGATGCGACGTCTGTCACCGCTGGTGGAGGACTTGCCACGCGATGTGGTCCATCAACTCGATCGCGCACTTGGTCTTGGCGACGAGAGACGCACGGCAGCGCCACGTCACGCACAGACGCGCCTCTCGCTGCACATCGAATTGCGCCACGATCGTCCACGTATTGACCTACACGACGACCATATCAACGTGTCGTGCGATGCTGTCGGTAGTAACATCAAGCAGCTTCACGTCGGAAGACGTGGACGACGCGTGCACCACGTGGGTCGCATCACAAAGCATCGCGTGGCTGTTTGCGGCGAGAGCTGTCGCTAACAAACGCGTCTGCTCGTCGGCGCAGCCTTCGCCCAGTCTAGAAATCTTCTTGAGCGACCGATGGATCGATCCAAGGTTCTTACCGAGACAGGGCACCGAGGTCGGTGAGCTGCGGCGACGCTGCGAGCGCGTGCGTGAGCGCGGCGAGTCCCGACGCCCGGCAGTGGTTCTGCGCCAGACTCAGCCGCGTCAAGCACTACGTCGACGCAATCAGTTCTGATCGAGCCTTCCGCAGGTCGTTGCACGGGTAGTCGCGGGAGGTACTTGGCCAAAGCGACAATGCCATCGTTTGAGATCTCATTTTTATCGACGCCGAGCGCCGTCAGTGTCGTGTTCGACTAGAGCGTGTTTGGATGCGGTCGATTCATCGCGGCGCACCTGGAGCGCGTCGACAAGTGCAAGGGCGCCGGCACTGCCAATGTGATTGCACTTTAGCTGCAGCGTCAGCAGCGGAAAACCAGCCTGCGTATCAATGGCGTGGGCAAGGATCTGTCATGATGAGTCAGAGATATGACATATCTCAAAAGGCGTACGCGGGCGCCGGCGATGCCAACAAAGCAGTAGGAAAGGTCCAGCGCAGTGAGTTGTGGCTGCTGCTGCAAGACGCCCATGAGCTCCGAGACCGTCCTAATAGCACTCGACATCATCGGTGACGCGATGAGTGGCAAGACCAACACGGTCGAGAGTTCGGCGTTGGCCAGCGACAAGGCTGCGACTGACAGTTGCTTGCGGATCGGTGTCGGCCCGAACTGCGCGTCGCGTAAATGCTTGGAGTGGAAGCCGAGGCCGCGCACAAAGTCCTTTGCCAAGCGGTGCTTGCGTCGCGGACCCGCCGAGAATGAAGTCGCCGGGTTCTCAAAGTCGCCCAAGCTCACCGCAAGCGACTCGAGGGATTCGTTCATGTAGAGGGCTACAGCGGACGGTTGAGAGAATACTATCGAACGTGGATCGTTGACGACCGTCGCGCAGCAAGGGCACGGACGTGGCCGAGTACGTGAAGGCGTTCCCAAGTATGTTGAGCCACACGAGGGACACGTTGGCGGCGAGGCGTTCGCAAACAAGTTGAAACGCGTTCTCGCCAAGAAGGTTGCAGGCGAGGTTGAGCCCGAGCAGCCGCGGTCGCTTCGAGTTGAGCAGTGCGCCTACCCAGCACATCGCCTACGTCCGTGGAGCAGAAGAGCGCGGTACGCAGCTCGTTGCACGCGCCATCGTCCAGCTGGTTGTGGCTTGCGTCCAAGGTTTTCATCGCGACAAAGGCCGAGAGATTGTGACAGAGCAGCGCAAGGTCGTGGTTCCGGAGACGCTGGTGGGCGACGCACACGTGCACAAGGTCCCTACGCCCTGCAATATCAGCACCAGCCTGCAGGACAGCACCACCGACCGAACGCAACTCAAGTCGTTGGCGGCTTGGAATTGATTCCAATGGTTCTACCGCCAAGCCCTGACGCGAGAAGATACAAGGACGATGGAAATACGAGAATCGGAGTCGCCGGCGCCGGCAAGAGCTTCTTGGGCTGCGGAGCGTACGGCGCCTCCACATCCTCCGAGGCCTCATCAGAATGATCGCTCTCGAGACTGTCGTCCATCGGCGACTCGCAGGCGACGAGGGCGTCGCGCAGTGCCTCTTTCTCGACCAGCTCTACGCGATGGCATGCGCCAGCGCATCTTCATAGAAATAACGCACCAGTGAGCTCGTGTACAAGGGCTTCGCGCTCCTGAAGCGCCTCGGACGTCGCCACGGACGAGCTCGGCGACCGTGGCATCTCCTGCTGGCGGCGTCGTTCCATATCCTCTCAAGATCCCAGCGACGTTGCACTTTCTAGAAAGGCCACTCCTGTAGTCGGTCGTTAACTAACTACGCACGCACAAGAGATCGAGAGGGCACTGTGTACTGTATTACCTTACGCCTCCTACTACGCCCAATTTTCACCTTAGTGGATCGGGACAAAGCCGTCGCGGTAGACCGACTGGCACGGGTATCGCACGACTTGCTTGTACTGCACCGTCGGAATTAGTTTGACCTCGTAGTACAAGACAGGAACGTACCGCCAGCGTTGCGTAGACGAGGAGGCCAAACCCAAAGAGCTCCAGCCTACGTGATTGCGTCATTCAAAGCGTTGCCAGATGATGCGCCTACCAGCTCCACGACGTCCACGGCTCGCCCATACTCGGCTCGTTCGCCACGTAGTAGAGGCCGAGGCCCAAAAGCCACACGCCAAGCGTGCGTCCATTCTACGAGTCTCTTGACACGCTGCATCGAGGCGGTGCCACGCACCTCGATCATGCTCCGGACGATCGAGCTCATGTGCTTGGTGACCCAGTTGGCCGCCACCTACCACATCGTCTCTCCACAAATTCTCTCATCCGCAAGTCAGAGTACGTACGTTGTAGGTCGCGACGCAGAGAACGTACAGGACGACAAGGACGACCAGCGACGGCGAGTGGCGTAGCTTGATCCACGTGTCGTTAAAGTCCTCGTGCCAGATCTTGGCAAGCGGTGACGAGCCGGGTGGCGTGTAGCTCAGACACGGAATGAGCGGCACGAAGAGAACGAGGCCCCACACGCCTTCCATGCCTGCTTGCAGCACCGGACTCACGTGCAATTTTGTCATAAAGTACTCTTCGATCGCAATGTTGACCGAGTACCCAAAGCGCGAGAGCAGGATGAAGAAGAGCCCGATGGCCATGTTGACGCCGTCGTCGGCGGTCTTGTGCGTCGACGGGCTCTGCGCGTAGCTCGCGGCCGAGACGAAGACGAGCGCGAGTGCCACGAGGGCAATGCTCACGTAATGGTACGAGAAGAGCCGCACGTGAAGAAACTTGACTGCGAGGAACGCGCTAAAGATGAGCATCGAGCCGCCGCTCATCTGGTACACCGACGCCGGGACCCAGAGCAGTCCAATGAACGAAAAGACGCTCTGGATGAGGTCCAGCGCTGCCGGAACGACCGTTGCCAGAAGCGTCGTGCACGTCGGCGTCTCGGGTGCGCGCAAAGCGTCGTACACGGTCATACTCGCGGCATGCACCGGCGTCTCAAGAAACGACCGGTGCAGCAGCTTCTTGCGCGCAAAAAGGTAGACAAGACAGAGCGTCATGCCGAGCTTGACTTGAAGCACGCCAAACCACGGCTTGTTGAAGGCGCAGAGCAGCGTCGTCGCGTTGCCATGGAGCATGGCGCACGGCTCGGACCCGAGCGAGGTTACCGAGAACTGCATCTTCATGAGGATCGTGTTGAGCGCGCCAGTGAGCAGCGTCACGACGGCAATTGCCTGCGGGTGCGGGTGCATGATGCCAATTCCAATGTGGATATGACAAGTAGCCATCGGATTCGATGCCGGTTACGGCGACAAAAGGGCAAGGTGGCAACTTCAACTCGTCCGGATACGAAATGGCATCACAGACTCTCTCGAAGGCTTGGGCACGTGGATTTGAGGCCTCCGAAGATACCCTTGCGCAGCTCACGCGGTGCTAGCCCAGTATACACTATCTGACGCCACCAAGTGCGGTCGGCATACCGACTTACGTCGCGGATCTCGATCATCCTGCATTGCCATCGCCACGACAACGCTATCACGCTTGCTTACCGCTAAGCTTTGTGAAGCTTAGTTGGCCGGTGTAGTTCGGGTGTAGTAGTTGATCCAACTACAGCTGTAGTACGTAGTAGTGCTGTGTGTCGTGCAAGACTGACTGGCGAAAGAAGGACTTGGAACGCGGGTTTTCTTTCAAAACGCATTGCTCTCGATGCCCGCTTCGGGCCTCGTCGTGCTTCTGTGCGTCTGGACCACCCAGCGCGATCCATCATCATCCGCTGCGACGTATACGCGAGAAAGTGTATCCACGATGCTGGCCAGGAATGTGTCATCCGGATAACAGGCGTCCCGCGCAAACGTATTGGCCATTTCGCCAGTCATGTCGATCGTGCGCAGTGCACCGAGCCTTCGCCTCGTGACGGACGCGACCAAGGGCCGGTCGCTCGTGATCGCGTCGCCCGACGGTGTCCCCGCCGGCGCTGTCCTCTTTTCTGAAAAGGCGTACGCAGGCATCGTCCTCTCCGAGTTCAAAGGCACGATTTGCAACGTCTGCTACAAGGCGGCGGACCCGGACATTTGCTGCGACGACTGCTCCGAAGTCACCTACTGCAGCGACGAGTGCCAATCGCTGCTGCAGCACGTGCACGACCTCGAGTGCCCCGTCCTCGAGGACATTGACGTCATGGTGAAAAAGTCGGGCACGGACCGCGACCTTCTCCGACTCCTCTTGCGCATGCTCTGCACGCGCGCGTCCGAGGCGGGTGCTACTACGAGCAGCCACGTCGTCGTCTCGACGTTTGATCATGTGCGCGAGATGGTCCATGCCACGCACCTCTTGGGCGATGCATGGAACGCGTCGGTTGCCTCTGGCGCCGCGATGCTGCTGACGGCGCTACCGTCGTCCGTGACGGCGTCGCTCACTGTCCACGACGTTGTCGAGCTCGCGGGCCGCGTCAACGAAAACTCGTACTCGGTCGATTCGTGGACGGGCCAGCCCATGGTGACAGCAGTGTGCATGTTTCCCCTCGCCGGCCTCGTCAACCACGCGTGCGACCCCAACTGCACGTGGTCCAACGCCGGCGACTCGACCATTGCGGTCAAGGCCACTCGGTTCATTCCATGCGGCGAGGAAATTACGCTCACGTATATCGACACGAACCGCAGCCGCGACGTCCGGCAGCGCGACCTCGCCGCCACCAAGCACTTTGACTGCCGCTGCGCGCGCTGCACCGAGCCGCTCGCGACGTCGGTGGACCTGCGCGTCGATGGCGTTTGCTGTGCGTCGTGCGGCGTGGACGGGCTCTTTGTCGGGTCTTTGGACGACCAGACGACACCGTGGGCGTGCAAGGGCTGCAGCCGCCCTGTGAGTGCCGACGCGATCGAGCAGTTCAAGGTCGAAGCCGCATCGCTTCTGGCGCGCGCCGATGCCGCGTACGCCAAGCGCCAGTACAAGGAGACGACCGACCTCCTCGACGACCTCCGCGACCACTACGATGTGCACTCGACGAACGCCTCGGACCTCTTCTTGCACCCGAGCCACTACATCCTTACCAAGGCACTCCGTGTCCTCGCCGACTGCAACACCAAGATCGGCAACATCGAGACGGCGTATGCGAACCGCAAGGAGGTCATCGCGCGCCTCACCGCCGTCGTGCCACGGTACTCGTTCTTGATGGGCAACTGCTACTTTGATCTTGGCGACATTCTCACAATCTGCCTCAAGCACGACGTGTGGAAGGACGACGTCGAGGTCGCTGCCAAGCGCGCCGAGGCTGATGCTGCCTTTGCCACGTGCGTCGACATCCGAACGATCTGCTTTGTGGAGGAGCACCCGCTTGTCGTCGAAGCGCGGAAGCGCCTGGCGTAGACCGCTGCCGCCACTAATCTTAACCAGCGTGTGCTTGTCGTCTTTGGCATGCATGCTGCCTCTATTAGTAGGCCGGCTACCACAGGCCGTCTGCCTCCTTGCGATGCTGGCTGGACCAAGGTGCTGGACTGTCCCGGCCATAGGCCAAGATCGGGGCTGCGGATTGGTCGGCCGTTATGAAACCCATGGATTTTGGCCAATGAAACGGCGGAATGCAGCGCATTGCAATCTTTCAGTTTTGGATTCGACATGACGAGCAAAGCCGCGCTGGTCCTCGGCGCTGCGCTCGCCGGCGGCGCCCTCGCGACTGTGCTCATGAAGGCGCAGTTTAGCCTCGTCGTCCCAGGCACCGACAGCTGTACGGACGTGAATGGCACGACGTCGACGACCTGCCGCTTTGCCAAGCCGTGGTTTGGCGTGCTCCAGATGAAAGCGGCGATGAGCATGAGCCTCGTCTTTCTCATTTTGCGCAAGCGCTACACCAAGTCGCTCTTCCTCGAGACGCCCGTCTTCAAGCGCAAGCAGTATGGCGTCAAGTACATGCCTCAGCCGCGCACGTACGAGGAGCGCCGCATGCTCCTGCAGCAGTCGGTCGATGGCCCGTCGTGGTATTCTCTCTCGCTATTGGTGCTTCCTGCGGCGCTCGATCTCATCCAGACAATGTTGTCGCTCATGGGACTTTTGTGGATCCCGGCGTCCGTGTACCAGATGAGCTCGGGGTGTGTCGTCGTCTTTAGCGCGTGCTTTGCTGCCCGCGGTCTCGGCCTCAAACTCCACTGCTACCAGATCTGGAGCATTCTGCTCATGCTACTGTCCATGATTATCGTCTCGATGGCGGGCGTCCTCGGCCACGGCGTCCTGAGTCCCCGCGATATTCTCAGCGTCCAGTTCCAAAACGTCGTCGACGCAGAGTGGGCCCAACTCGTCGGCATGGCGTGCATTCTGCTCGCGCAGCTCATCTTTTCGCTGCAGCTCGTCGTCGAAGAGCACTTTCTGAACGTGCACCACGTCAGTCCGATCTTGCTCGTGGGGATGGAAGGGCTCTGGGGCCTCGTGCTCTTGCTGCCGATGACGCCGCTCCTCCACATGACACCACGCACCGACTCGGCTCTTGCGCAGCTCTGGCACGAAGACTTTTCCGACACGTGGGCCAAGCTAAGCCACTCGGCTCCTCTCTGCTTGCTCGTCGCCTTGTACATGCTCAGTGTCGCCTCGTACCAGGCACGCCTCACCTAATGTTATCGTGAAGCAACTGCTCACCTCCGCCTCTGTAGATTGCAGCCCTCTACATCACCAAGCACCATTCGGCGCTCGTCCGTAGCATGGTCGAGGTACTAGGCTGTCTTGTTCGTCGCCTCTTGTGATGATGACACGGACGTTAGCTCGGACGAACGCTCGGTGTGTGGATCCTCGGCTTTCTCGTCTACTACATCCTCGAGTGGACGGGCCCGTCGTCACCGGGGGAGCCCTTTACAGAGTGGTCGTGGTAGAGTCGCTGTCTAGAGACTCTGGATCGCTAACCACGGCCTAGCGTCGAGGCGGTCGGGTTTGTGCTCATGGCGCTGGCGACGCTGACGGTACGATGACGCCAATCTCCCTCATGATCTGACTGTTGTTGTTTCGATCCAGTACAAGCAAATTCTGCACTTTCCGTGCGTCCGTTTGTACCAAGACGACCGCGGGCTCCCAGTGCGAGTCGAAATCTCGTCCTTTATGCTCGACCGCCACTAACAAGCGCGATGCGATGGACGAGGATCGCGAGTTACATTCGTTTCTAATGCATCGAAGCCATGAACGGCGACTTGGTCAGCGCCAAGTTGGCCTCGCGCTCTTCCGCCGCATACAGCCACGTGCCGGGGAAGCGCAGGATCTTCTTGTACTATAGCCGTATCATGAGCATGAGCGGACGAGTTGTTGGAGAGAAAACGCGTACCGTGAGCGTACCGACGACCATGACGGCAAAGCCCGCGAGCTCGAGCCAGCTCCAGACGGTCCACGGCTCGCCCGGCGAGTTGGGGCCCGTCCACTTGATCACGTAGTAGACAAAGAGCGTGAGGAGCCAGACACCCATCGTGCGCATCGTCTATCATTCCACATAAGACAATGTCTCCATCATCGTCATGAGACGGACATCGAGGATACTGCGAACGACCGAGTTGAGGTACTTGGTGACAAAGCTCGCGGACAGCTACACGCCAGAATAAGCATCCGAGTAAGAAGAAGAAGGACACGACGTACGTTGAAGACACCGATCGTAATGACGTACGCGACGACGGTCCAGACAAGCGGCCACGAGTTGGAGATCTTGACAAGCGCATCGGAAAAGTCTTCGTGCCAGACTTTGGAGAGACCCGAGGTGCCCCGGGGCGTCCACTGCAGGAGCGGGATCAAGACGGCCATGAAGACGAGCCCCCAGAGGCCCTCAATGCCCACGAGGAGCATCGGACTCACTTGGCGCTTGGTCAAAAAGTACTCTTCAATCACAATCTGGATCGCGCAGAGAAATTGCGCGACAAAGATGAAGCTGAGGCCGAGAATCTGGTTGGCTTGCTTCTCCGCGTCCGCCGCCGACGGCTCGGCCGCCGACTGCATCGCGGCTTGCGAGAGGCCCGCGAACGAGACCATGCCGACGGCGATGATGACGAGGAGGATGCTCGAGTAGTGGTACGCAAAGAGGCGCTTGCCCATGAAGCGGACCGAGAAGAAGGCGTTGAAGAGAATGACGGACCCGCGCGTCATTTGGTAGATGGACGACGAGATCCAGAGAAGGCCAATGTTGGCGAACACCGTGTTGAGCAAGTCGAGCATGGACGGGATGATGAGCAGCAGAATGGTCGACCACGACGGCCCCGACGACGACGACGACGTCTCGACGACGACGACGCCGTCTCGAGAAACGGCGTGCGCTCGCTCTTGCCCGCCGCCGCCTTGCGCGACTGCTGCGGCGTCAGCATGTACTTGCGGCCGCCTTTCTGCATCTTGTTGACGGGCGTCTCGAGGTACGCGCGGTGCTCGACGCGCTTCCGGACGTAGAGAAAGACGAGGCAGCACGCCATCGCGAGCTTCATTTCGAGGACGCCAAACCACGGCTTGTCAAAGTAGCAGTGCAGCGTCGTGTTGCCGTTGATGACGCACGGCTCCGTGCCGAGCGACTGGAGACTGTACTGCACCTTGGTGATGATCGTACACAGCGTACCGGACACGAGCATGACGAGGCCCCAGAGAAAGCCCTTGCGCGTCTTGCGCTCTTCGCTCGTCGTCGTTGTCGACATGCTTCGGATGTAGCAAACGGCAAAGTGACACCGCGGTGATGGTGCCCTCGCGCCCAATGGAGGTGTCGCATTACCTTATATTTGTATCGGTGCCACGGTGACCAACAAATAAAGTACCGTCGGTTTCCACGCGCGGTTTCTGGCTGCGCGTCGACCACCTAGAGTGGTCGGCGTTCTGGTTGCAGTAGCTAGCTCGATGCCGATGTGGCGCTGTCCAGTAGTAGTATGTATTCTAGTGCTGGGACTCTACGGCTCGCCAGACAGAGCGGGCAGGTAGGATTCCTTTGAGGATAGGAACACACAGTGGGATACGCGTCCCCACCACTCTTTTGTGTTGCAGTTGAAGGTCGCCACTCGGCACGCCAGTAGAAAGCCGACGCGCCCACGATTTCGCCCTGCCATCGTCACGTTTGTACATACCATCCTGCCGCGAACGCAATGACGCGTGGCTAGAGCTAGATACGCTTACGATAGCTCTTACGATCCCTTTGGTCCTGAGCTTCCTTGCAAAAGTCAAATCGAAGTTATTCGTCGAAGATATAGAACTTTCTACGAACTTCGAGCTTGCTGGACTTGGTGTTGAGATCTTTTGGCATGCGACGACGTATGATGCGGCTGGTGGGCTGGCTGCTGCTCGTGCTCGTTAGCTGCGCGGTCGATGGCGATGTCCAAGTCGCCATGGCATCGCCGCGAGAGTACAAGCACACGACGGACCCGGCGATTGTCAGCGCTGCGCAGGTACGCATCGATAGAAACAACGGTGATGCCATGGGCTCGACTAGTTTGCACTCGACGAGCTGCGACGGCTCTCAGACACGGGCATCTACATGACGCTGTCGCTGCATGCAATCACGTCGGGCGCGACCCAAGTAGGCGAATACGTCGAAATGCCTTCTTGACTGCGATGCGTAGACTGGTGACTTTCACGACAAGACGTATCTGACGCTCGAGCTCGCGTCGCCGCACTTCAAGAGCGGGGCGTCCGTCGAGAGCTTCGAGGTCGTCGTCATGGAGAGCTTAGACGGAGACCGGCGCAAGAGCTTTGCGATCGATAATTTTCCAGAGATGGCCGACGATGCGATCGAAGCCTATTGGATCGAGATGGTCGAGGCGACGCGGCAGAAGCGCCGCGACGTCTTTGCCAAGTGGGCCACCGAGGAAGAGGCTCCATCTGCGACCAAGGACGAGCTCTGAGATGCTAGATAGGCATAGCACTTGTCTGATGTTTAACTTACTTGGCCTCGTCGACAACGGCCGTGGGTGCAATTTTCCGCTTCTTCGCCACCGGCAGAACGTTGACCGGCGCCGATTCCGAGTCGCGCTTGGCCGCGGCGGGGGCCGGTGTCACGCCAAACCCGATCGTTGTCACGGGCGCGGCAGCGGCCTCTGCGTTGCTCGCCTCGACATTCTCCCGCAACCCGTCAACCTAAATATGGGGGGTTTTAGCTGGATGGTGAAGAGACATAGCATGCGATCCTACCTTTTCCTTGACCTCAGTGTAGATCTCGAGGTACTCGAGGAGCTTGGCCTCGTCGTCGTCAAGTAGCGTACTGGCATCATCAGCCGTGCTCGGGTCGACGCCCCGGGAGTTGAGCGCCGCCGCAACAAACGTCTTGCGCATGTCTTCCATGGAGCCCACGTACGGAAGGGTGAGGTCGGCGACTGGGGCATCCATGACCGGAGGCTTGGCCTTGCCCTTGCCCTTGGACGACTCGGGCTTGGCCTGCATCGGGATATGCGTCTCCAGGAACTTCGTGCAGGCCGGCGAGCACGACGTCGCTTGACGGTACAGGTTGTCGCGCATGACGTTGCCGGCGAGGACGTAGTAGCGCAAGCCTTGCACCTCCATTTCCTCGGGGCTCACCGTCGACGCTTCGTCCGTCTTGGTCTCTTCTTCGTCGGTCCCCGCTTCAGGCTGCTTGGCATGTTGGTAAATGCACGTGATCGCCATGCAGCAGTAAATGTCGGCGAGCGGCGTCGTGTCCATCGCCGTCGACGTCAAGATCTTCTTTTGCAGAGCCAAGCTCTTTTCATAGTCGGCGCGCGCTTGCTGGAAGAGATCCGACTCCATGCCGAGATCGCCAAGGCGCATGTGGACGCGCGCGAGCTCCTTATCGATGCGGTCGTCTTCGCCTTCGTGCTTGGAGAGCAAGAGGCGAGCAACCTCGAGCATCTCCCACGCGACCTCCAAGTCGTTCTGGTCTTCCTCTTCGCCTTCCTCGCCCTTGGTCGCGTCCTGGCCAAAGACACTGGCGGTCGCTTCCGCAAGCGACAAGAGCGCGTTGCCGTACTCGTAGTACACGGGCGCGATGCTCAGCGACTCGGTCTTGCCTTCGACCTCGTCCCTACACATACCGGCGTCAACCTCACGGCCGCGATCGCATGAGCTCGGTACATGGTGCGCAGAAGGTCCCCGAAGTGAACGACAGCTTCCTCGTACCGCTTCTCCTTGAGGAGGCCAATTCCGCGGACGAAGCGCGCGTCCTGGAGCGTCGCCTCGAGGCCGTCCATACTGCAAATTTGTGTGGTGGCGAATAAAAATCAGCTATTTTTATTGTTGCATTTGGCATTTTATCCTTGGTTTTGTATGTATGCTGTTTTATCGGGACGTCGTTTAATACAAATCCAAAATATGGGCGCGAAACCGCGCCAAATTCGCGTGACATGGATTCGATCGAATGACCTTGGATCGATACTTCAGAAACTCCAAGTCGGGAATGGATCGTTGTTTTCTTAGATAGTTGGATAGTGTTTGGATAGATGGTGGATCAATGGAATTGGGAGAGGTGGCGCAGATGGGCGGTCGTCGCCAGCGGCGCTGTCGTTGGGGACGGCGAGGCTGTTGCACCAGAGCTGGTCGTCGTCGTGCTGGTCGTCTTGAAGACGCCGAGCGCGGCCAAGAGGACGAGAATAACCACGATCACGACGAGGCCGAGGGCAATTGTCAGCTTGACGTTCTTCCACCACATGGCCCGCGAGAGGCTCTTGCCCGTGTTCCGAAAGACCTTGGCCTGTTCGCTGAGGTCGTTGGACTTTTGCTCGACCATTTCCATCTTCTCCGTGTTGGAGAGCACAACTTGGATGTTCTCCTGCATCGTGCTCTTGACAGCGTCGACTTGGGCCATGACCTCGGCGAGCTTATCGACCTTGGTGCGGTCGTCGTACGTCGTCGCGATGACGCCAAGGCCCTTGGCACACTCCTTGTCGAGGCCGCCTTCTTTGACGGTCGCGAGCTTGGCCGCGAACTTGGCGGCCATCTCTTCCTGGACGGCCGTCAGAAGCTTGAACGCGAGCCGCACCGGGTAGTCGGCGGCCGTGATGGCCACGTACACGATCTCATCGTTGTCCATGGTGAAGTGAAATTTGTTGGGCTCGCAGTCGAGCGTATGGCGGCTGTTAGGCGCGACCTGCTGCTTCCACGTCGGCGCGCGCAGCACCTTGGTGAGCATGTCCATGTACTTGGGCGACTCATCCTTGTCCTTCTTCGTGTGGGCGTACGAGGCGATGATGGCCTTGTCGCTCCCGCGGGCAACCGCGAGGAACTTGACGTTGTCGCTGGTCAGCGCCATGCTGCTGCCTGTTGCTTGCTTGTTTTCTCAAAAACTGACTTTGCGAAGCGAAACCTATAAATTGCCTTTGCCGTTGGCCGTTGGGCGGCTTGCGATCTTGGCGTTGCGCGGTGCGATTGGTGCATATTCCAAGACGAAAAGAGGCGCATCGGCAATATCAATATATATCAATATATATATGCAACAGCCTTTAAACCAAGCGCAGCCGACGCAGACTCTTGTTGCTGCTCTCGGTCGAGAAGACGCCGAGGACGTACAAGACGAGGATCACGACGAGCACGATTGAGACGCCGATCGCGGCAAAGAGACGCAGCTTGCGCAAGCGCATTTGGCGGTGGAGGTCGGTCGCGCCCTTGTGGAAGATCTTGGCGTTGTCCGAGAGCTCAGACGACTTTTGCTCGAGCGTCTCGAGCTTCTCGCCGTTGGACAGCGTGATGCCAATCGAGTTTCTTATCGTGTCCTTGACGCCTTCGACCTGCAGCTTGACGAGCGAGAGCTTGTCGATCTTCGTGCGGTCTTCGTACGTCGCTGCGATCATCGCCAGCACCTGCGCACAGTGAGACGCGATAGAATGCATACCGACAGCGTACTACCTTGGCGCAGTCGCTGCCGACGGTCTGGTCCTTCTTGAGAGTCAAGGCCTCGGTCGCAAACGACGCGACAAACTGCGTCTCCATGTCGTTGATCATTTGGTGCGCGATGCGGATCGGGTAGTCGCCCGCTGTGACAGCAAAGTACACAAAGTTTCCGCTGTCGAGCATAAAGTGGAGCTTGAGGCCGTCAAACGCGAGCGCGTGGCGGCTGTTGGGCGATACCTCTGTCGCCCACGTCGGCGACGAGAGGACCTTGGCCGCGACGTCGGCGAAGCGCGCGCCGTCCTTCTTGCCGCCCTTGGTGTGCACATGGTTGCTAATGATGCTCTTGTGGGCGACCCGCGCGACCGCGAGGAACTTGACGTCGTCCTTCGAGGCCATCGCACGCGTCGTCGTCGTATTCGTTTCAAGACTGCGGGCGTTTGTTTGTGGGACTGAGATTTTTGCTTTTTTCGCCGCGTGCGCTGATTGGTGGATCCATTTTTTCACACGTCAATATAGCCAATCCAACGCATGAATCCAACGCGAATCTGCCAAAAGTTGCGCGACGGACGCGAGGACTTATGCATCGACAAGGCGTCGACATAAGACCGAGGCGTGGGTGGAGTTAAGTTAAAAAGCTTACGAGGACGACAACCGTTAGGACTTTTGAGAGCGAGCACGTCCCGCCAGCTGACGCGATCTTCAATGCACTTGGCGCGGACAAACTTGGCACATTCGAGCTCCGAGCGCATTGCGCAAAACACTTCGCCGTTGACGTACTTGCAGCGATACCGCTCCTCGCCATGCGACGTCGTGATGCGGCGTATGCGAACATGCTGAAGGATCTCTTCGACTTGAATCGCCGGATCTTCAAGCTCTTGTATTGTCTGCTTGACCTCGCGCAGCTAGAGACGCGACTGCGTGAGCTCGACCTACTCAAGCTATCATACCTGTGTCTTGAGGTTGGGAATGTCTTTGAAATCCCGCAGCCGCCGCAATGTCTTTTTCCGCTCGCGCGCGTCGGACGGCAAGTAGTCGGAGATCATCTTGACGAGCACCATGGCAAGCTCTTGCTCAGAGACGCTGCCATGCTTGCGGTCGTCGCTGCCGTCGGCGATCCACTCCATAAACATCTTGATGTACGGGTCGTGAGCGGCGCAGAAGTCGGCGAAGCGCTCCTCGTACTTGGGCGCCGCCTCGGCCTTGACGCGCCAACACTCGAGCGAAGCGTAAACGAGCATCGCTGCTTGCGTGCGCTCTTCAGTCTACATCGGTATGAGGCACAGCGCGCTATAACGGAGAGCGTACACTGAGGTTGGCCGACGTGCGCTTGAGCGCGGCCAGGGCGACCTGCATCTTCTTGGCCGACGCGACGACGCCCTTCCCATTGCACGCCGTCGCAAAGAGGTCCTGGACAAAGCCCGACGGCAGGGTGCTGGGCGTCTTGCTGTAAAACGCCTTCTTCCGCGAGATGCGGAGGTCGTCGTCCACCGCAACCGCAACCTAATGCAACAACGAGCGTGCCGGCCGACTGCAACACGTCGCGCATGTCGTACCTGGTTCGTCAGCGGGTGCGCGCCCGTAAGCGCGATCGTGCCACTCACGCACTCGTGGTAGATCTGGACGTGCTCCTCCAGCGCGGCCATCTGGGCGCGCGCCAGCTTCGCCAGGAGCGCCTTCTTGTCTGCCATCAAGCCGACGAGCACTTGGAGCAGTGCTCTGCAACTGCCTGTGCAATCCGGTTAACCGAATCTGCCGGATACGACGATCAAAAAGGGCGCCAGAAGCGCAATCGACATACCAGTAGTGCTACTCGAGGGTCCCATCCCGCGTCCATACAACCAACTTCACTTTAAGACGCCGAACATCCTTATGGCATTGCAAGCACTGGTGGGTGGCAGCTCAGTACCGCCGTGGAGGAGCTCGTTCCGACTGCATCGTTCTCGTCATCTTCGACCCGAACCGTTCCACTTCTTGACCCTTCAAGGGCGGCTACAGCACCAGCTCGGGGTGTTGTAGCCCGTTCCGCGGTCACCGATTGCCGCCGAATGGGATTTGTGTTCGTCCTGCTGCGACCGGTGCACTGCCTGCAACAAGCACGTGGCATATGCAATAGTTTTGAATATTAAGACTTTGCTACAGGAGGAGGTCGTACATGTTTTCTTTGCCGCAGAGACAGCGGACATGGTGGTGCGTCGTTTGCTCGATGGGCGGCAAGAGGTCGTCGAGGAGGACGTCCGAGAGGAGGTTGGCGCCCGCGCGCCCGCCCATGAGATTGCCGGCCGTAGGCCCCAGCCGCAGCGACGCATACCCGCCCATGAGAAACACATCCACGTCGCGCGCAATGCGGAGGTCTTCGTCCACGTTCGGAAACCCCCCGGTCGTCGTCACGCCCAGCGGAAGGAGCTCGCGGAAGAGCGGGTCGCGGGCCGCATCGACGTCCGACCCCGTGGCCAAAATGATCTCGTCCGCGACGAGCGGCAACTGGTCGGACGAGAGCGTGATCCGGAGCCGACCGTCGACCTCCTCGACAGCGACGACGGTCGTGCCACCCATGTGCGTAAACGTCTCGGGTGTCGCGACGGCCGTGAGCTGGTCCATGGCCGCTTGCGTGACCGAGCCGCGGCCGCGGGCCTGCTTGAGGCGCGCGAGGCGAGCGTCGGCATCCGCTTCGGCGAAGAAGGCCGCGCGCATCTTGTCGCGCAGCGTGGGCGAGAGCCACTCGAGGGGCACATCGTACGGCTGCACGCGCAGGTGCGGCGACCGCGTGAGCAGCGTCACGTGCGTCGCGCCCCAGCGCAGCGCCTGCTTGGCCAAGTGCACGGACGTCAACCCTCCGCCGACAATGAGCACGCGCGGCCGCGTCGCTGCATACCGCGCTTGCACGACGGACGGGCCTTGGGCGACGAGGTCAGCGCTGTGGAACGTGCGGCGGCACGGTAGCGACCAGGAGGGCCGCCGCGGAAGGCGCTGCGTGCCGACAGCGACGACGACTTTGGCCGCGCGGACGATCTCGCCGGAGGCGCAGTGGACTTCAAAGGACGAGGGCGCGGCCTCGGTGCTCGAGAAGACGGGTACGATCGAGATGGCGCGCTTTGCCTCGACGATGGTCTCGAGCTTGTACTGCTGGACGAGCATCCGATTGTGGGCGGCAAAGAGGTCTTGGCGCGGGCACCCAAAGAAGCTCCGGTCGTTCTCGCTAAACATGGACGTCTGCGACGCGAACGCCTTGTTGCGCTTGTTGAAGCGGATGTTGGTGGGCGGCGGCGCCACCACCGAGTGCGTCGACGTGGCAAAGTCCCGGAGCCCCTCGGGCCGAAGCGGGTCCAAGTGCACACTCAGAGGCGACCGGAGGTGCGAGATGCCAAAGAGCTCAAAGTTGGCGTTCCAGTTCGCGCACCAGTCGCCCGACGGATCGAGGACGCGCAGCTGGTGGCGAATGCTCGGACGCTGCGGCGCGAGACGCTTCTTGCGCCAAAACGAGAGCATCGCGGCTTCGGTTTCCGTAAACTCGCTCGCGCTGTCTTCTTCGAGCAGAGTCAAGACGAGCGCCAGCGCATGGGGGCCCGCACCGATGACGACCAGCGGCGTGATATGGGGGGAAGCGTCCGAGCGTACCATGGCAAGTCGAGTTGTGACCGTCGCGGTCGAGATGAGAGCATCCATCGGCTCCGACGGCGGGACCTCTCCGACGGTGGATCGAATATCCGACGGCGGCTGCCACGTAGAGTCGACGTCAACCTTTCGACCTGTGGGCGCTCGACCCGTGACTCTGTGAAGACAGGCGTGGATGGAGCCCGAGGCGTTGACCTCAAGCCGGACGATATCCTCACACGCTTTTGACGCCGGCGGCAAATTCACACAAACGTTGCTATTAACAAAGACAGTGGGGTCTCGAGGTCGTCGCGCTTAGGACCCGACGGCCGTGTCCAGCGACGCCGCTTCCTTGAGACGCTTGCGTTCGTCTTGGAGCATGCGGCAGAGTCCTTCGAGCTTCTGGATTTTGTCGGCTTGGCGCTTGGCGTCCTCGGCCGTCTGGACGCGCTCTTGGAGGGCCTCGATCGCCCCCGAGTCGTACTCGTCGCACTTCTTCTTGAGCGTCCCGTTCTCCTTCTCGAGGCGCTTGATGTGCTTGGACATCTTGTCCATCTCCGAGCGCAAGGTCACAAACATCGTGTTGCTCTTCGAGAGCGTATCTTGGACAGTGTCAAACTTTTCCGAGTACGCGCCCAGTTGTTCCTAGAACCGATTTGATGCTGCATCGCACGTCTTGAAGGTACCTGGAGCGCGGCCTCGCGGGCTGCGATTTGCTGCGCCTTCTCGAGCGTCAATTGCACCTACCATGTGCGTGAAGCGTCATGCTACAAGTAGGAAGGACGATAGCACCTTTTCGGCTTCGCGGTTGGTGAGCTCGACTTGGTGCTTGAGCTTGGCTTCGGCAAGCTGTACCGTGAGGTCTTTGGCCTGGAGCTGGTGCGCAAAGTGCTCCTCGCGGACTTCGTACTGTGCGAGGAACGTCTTGAGCTTGGTCTGCAACGCCTCGTTCTCGTGGAGCGACGCGACGTAGTCTTTGCCCTGCTGCTCCATTTTGACGCTCACTTCTTCAATGGTCTTTGGAACTGTGCCGAGAGCTGCTTGCGCTTGGCGTCTTCGTCCTCGGCCATCTTGCGCGACTCGGAAATGATCGTCTTGTTCTGCTTCTGGAGTTCGCGGCAGAGCTGCTCGAGCTTGCCTTTCGTCGACGAGACCTTCTGGAGCGCGTCTTGGGACGCTGTGAGCTGCTCGCGCGAGACGATAAACTTGGCGTGGACCTCGCCGACTTTCTTGTGGACCGCCGCGAGGTGGCTGAGCAGCTGGCCGACGGTCGTCTCCATGCGTAGGATCTCGCCGCTCTCCAAGCTGTCTTGCCACGCTTGCACGCTCCTCTCGACGAGCGTGCTGTCGGAGAAGATGCCACTCATGTCGACGTCGAGGCCGTCGTCGCCGACCTGGAGCCGCGCGATTTTGCTCGCGAGGAGGTCCTTCATCGCGGCCTCGTCCTTGGCCTTGCCCTTCGTCATCGGATTCACGGGCGGTGTCGGCGGCCCGCTCTCGGACGTCTGCTTGTGCTTGAGCGACCGCTTCCGGCCCCTTCGCTTCCTGTGGTCTCCATGCTGCCAATCGGCGAATATCTTTCCATCGTTTTTTTGGCCCCCGCGTCAGAAACACGACCCTCAATGTATGTAGTACCGGGTGGGGGGACCTACCGAACATTCCACGCGATGCCATTGGTCGCGACCAATTGGTTGGTGTGATCTATTTGGATGCTCGCCCGAACGGTTCTCAAGCCTCGCCTACTGCCCAGTCTTGTCCGCGCGTTGAGTAGTACCTCTGTCGATACTAGCATGAGCAGCAACAACAACAGCAACAACTCTCGAGGAGGCCGTGGCGGTGGTCGCGGCGGTCGTGGCCGTGGCCGCGGCGGTGGCTTCCGTGGCGGCCGCGGTGGCGGTCGTGGTGGCGGTCGCGGCGACGTGCCGTGGTTTCGCCAAGAAGGCTACAACGACGCGGTTGCGAGCAGCGTCGACGAGACCGAGGTCGGCATCAAGGTGTTCGTCAACGACCGCAAGGGCTTCAATGGCATCGTCAAGCAGCGCTTCTCGGACTTTATCGTGCGCGAAGTGGCCATGAATGGCAACGACATTGCACGCCTGACCGAGCTCGAGCTGCCGCCGCAAGGCAAGAAGAACCGCACCGTGCACACGCTCTTGTTTGACGCGATGGAGCGCTACCTCGGCCTGTCGTTCGCCAAGTCGACGGCCTCCAAGCAGCACCGGTACCTCGAAACGACGAGCGACCTCCCGAGCGCGTCGTCGGGCCTCGAGAGCATCTTTGACGTGCTCTCCAAGCGTCTTGTCGAGCTCTTTGTTGCGAACCGCGAGAACGGTGCGTCGTATGCGGCCAAGCGCCAAGCAAAGCTCTTCGTCGCCGAGGTCGCGTCCGCGCTCGACGCTGCGGAGGCGACCAAGCTCGACGCATTCTTGCACCAAGTGATTGCGACGACCGATGCGACCGCCAAGGCCGAGCTCGTGTACCATTTCCAGCCGCTCGAGAAGAAGGACGACCGAACCGCGCTCCACGGGCTCATTCGCGAGTACGGGAAGGAGCTCGTCGTCGCCGACACCACGTCCGAGGCTGGCAATGACGCGGCGACCGTCATCCGCCTCCGGCCGCTCACCAAGAACGGTGGGAAGCGCAAGGACATGGACCACCGCTCCAGTAGGACCGACGCCAACTGGCCGCACAACCGCCGTACGTCTCTCTGTACGAGTACAAGTCCACCAAACGGGTGTCTGACGATGGAAAATATTGTCATCTAGTTTATCATGTACAAGAAAACAAAGAGACCGTCGAGGCGATGCAGCACATGGCCAAGATCTTGCACTTGAACGACGGCGTGTTTACGTATGCGGGCACGAAGGACAAGCGCGGCCTCACGACGCAGTGGGTCACGGCGTACAAGGTGCCGCGCGAGACCATTGCGCGCATCAACAACGTACGTCGTATGTTGTGACATGACAGTTTCCATGTGGATGTAGCACAAGAGCTACGGCAAGAACTACGACATGTACGCGTTCCTTGTCGGCAACTTTAGCTATGTGAACGACCCACTCACGCTCGGCGACCTCTACGGCAACCAGTTTGGTCTCGTGCTCCGCAACATCCCCGACGACGTCTCGGACGACGACATTGCGGCCGCCGTCCACGCGTGGACCAACATGGGTTTTGTCAACTACTTTGGCTTGCAGCGCTTTGGCACCAAGTCGATTCCGTCCCACACGGTAGCGTTTTCTCCATACATTGGTATGTATACCATGGAGTTATGGTACTAGGTCGGTCGCGCCATGCTGCGAAAAGACTTCAAGGGCGTCGTGGACCTCATCCTTGGCCCGAAAGACGGCGATGCGAGCAAGATCCGCGAGGCGCGCGTGCACTTTCAGCAGTACAAGGACGTGGACGCAGCTCTGCGCATGTTCCCGCCCTTCCTCGTCGCCGAGAACGCGGTGCTCCAAGGCTTTTCGCGCCACGGCCTCGACGCGTACGAGCGCGCGATCCGCAACATCCCGACCAAGCTCCGCATGGTCTGTCCATCTGATTGAGTCGCCTTTTCAAATTCTTGCTCTAGATTTATACGCACGCGTACCAGAGTTACATCTGGAACGAAGCCGCGAGCTACCGCTTGAGCCACTACTCCAACACGGCGCCCGTCATTGGAGACATGGTGCTACGGGGTGACGTCGAGTTGGACCCGGAAGCTGAAGTCGAAGCCAAGGACGAGGCGCAGCCGAGCAAGAAGCGGCGGCGCTTTGTCGAGAGCGACATCATCTTTGTGACCGAAGACAACATTGGCGAGTACTCGATCGAAGACGTGGTGCTGCCCGTGCACGGCTACTCGACGCTGCTGCCCAAAAACACCGTGGCCGAGGTACCGTCGCTGCCCTTTCGGACGTTATAACGATGGATGCGGTAGGTCTACAGCCGCTGCGCGACCCAAGACGGCGTGAATTTCGAGTCGCTTCGGAAAGACCAGTCGCCCGAGTACAACCTCCCGGGCTCGTACCGCCACATTTTGCGCAAGCCGCAGCAAGTGCGCCACGAAATCAAGCGCTACGACGACGAGACGATCCCGCTCTTGCCGTCCGAAGTCGACGTCCTCTTGAACCGCCCGACGGTCCCGTCGCTCCCGAACGGCAAGTTCAAGGCCATCTGCCTCGAGTTCATCCTCCGTACGTCCTCGCTTCTTTGTGGACACCATTGTCAAAGATGTGTAGAGTCGTCGAGCTATGCGACAATTGCGATCCGAGAGCTCCTCAAGCAGAGCTCCAGCATCCATGTGCAGTTGCAGCTCAACGAGCAAAAGGCCGGCAAGGCCATCGACACGTCCAACGTCAACAAGGTCAAGTCCATCCCGATCGGTCGACCAGGCTTCTCGCTCGGCAAGCAGTAAGGGAAGGAGCTTCCACGCAGTAGTACATCCGCCTGGATCCCTCAACGACGACGACATCAGCTTACAATCAACATCATACCATCATGCACTGTATACTGTTTCCTCTGCGTACACGCAGGTTAGCTCACGATGAACCCTCGGCGTCGGCCAATGTCGTCTCGGCGAGACGCCGACGGCTGCGGTCGAGGTAGACTTCCAACGCGATGAAGCCCGCGATGAGACACGTCGCGACCCACTGCCATTGCGCGACCTACGCGATCGTTGTTGCTCGACCCTGTCGAATTCTTGTAGTCGGAAGGTTGGGTACCGGAACACACGTCTTCGTGGCGTCGTCGAGCTCGTGGTAGTAGACAAGGTCGCAGTTGGGGTCTACCCATCTCGTTGTTGGTGCCTCGAGCGCATCCAAGCCTAGTACCTTTGCATGTGTTGGTGGGTTGGTCGTACGTCTGCTGGCCTCTGCAGGCGACAGGCACGGTGCAGACCGGAGGCTTCGGCGGCGACACCACCGGCATCTGGACAAAGCCCACTTGCTTGTGTGTGTCGCTCAGCAGCGTCGGCAGGTGCTGGAGCACCATGGCGCCAAAGATGATGGGCGATTGGTACATGTCGGGCACGAACGCAATGCCACCAATCTCTTTGGTCTAATATAACATCAGACGCCACTCCACATGTCCACTCTTGCAGGTACAAAAATGTCGTCTTCTTCGAGGACAATCTGGTGCTCGAGAATGCGGTTGATAATGCTCGTCGACTTTTGTAGGCACAACCTAGACAGCGATATCTTGCCGATCGTCGACTGGGAAAATAAGCGTACTGGGGGGTGGAGCCCGTCGAGACGTTGAGCGCCAACGCTGCGAGCGGCAGCGTGAGCGTCGGAAAACCGTACCCGGCCTGAAACGAGAGCGACGGCAGCTCGTGCAGGGACACGTTGTGGCGCAGCTGCGTGAGGTTGGCCGACGCGTTGTACTCGAGCGGTGCCCACGTCACAAGCTACCACGATTCGACATCGATACGAAGATACAAGGAATATGCTCACCGAGGTGTAAAACTCTTTGGGCAAGACGAGGCAGGGCACCTCAAAGTCCACGTGGGCGGCCCAGTACGACGACGACGGCTGCGTCAACGGCACGCCGCAGACCGTCGCGTTGTGCACTGTACCCAGGTCATAATCGCGCTGCGATTCTGCGGAGAGAGCAGTCGTATTACCTGTAAAGGACGTTCGGCGCTTGTAGTAAAAGTCATGCACGACGTTCATCGACTCAGACCACGTCCATGTGTCGTCCTCTGGTCGCGTGAGCGAAAAGCACACTCTAGGATGTCGTACCTGGCGACGACGCAGGACGAAGCGTTGCATTCGCGGCGCCTGTCGTCGGATCCATGCCGCTGTACTGCAGCACGAGGTCGCCTGGGAACGGCCAGCCGGGCTGCGGCGAGGACACGAGCCCCATGCCAAGAAGCCCCGACGCGTTCCACCGCCTGTCCGTGGGTAGTGGTTCGAGACGTACATATGATGGAGAGAGCGCTTACTTTTCAAAGAGCTGGGCGTCAGCGACCTTGGCGACGACGTCATCTGCGGTCACGGTGCCAAGGCCAAGGCTCACGCTCATGTACGCCGACTCGTCGACGTCGGCGTAGAGGATCACGCCTCGGAAGCGCGTCGAGAGCTCGAGCCGGACTACGTTCCCATTGACGGTCGCATTGACCCACGGACTGTGGTAGCCCACGCCAAGCGCTACGTGGCAGCACGTCGCGACGGCAAGGCCGGCGAGCCAGGTTGCGCTTCCCATCGGTTACTCTATTTCTGGTCCTTATACATACACTATTTCTCGCCACAAACCTTTCACATATGATATATGACCTGCAGCAACACATATTGAAGCTTATACAAACACCAAGTGCTGCAGTCATCCGGATGGACACCCAATGATTACCAACCGAATGGGCGTATCCGGACAGCTCGCGCTTGGCACTTAGCTTCTTGTTTGTCTCCTATCCAGTCGAACGCAGCTAGAGGAAGATGCCACGCAAGGCCGGCCGTCGCGTACGTCGCCGCTGCAGCCAACCATGGGCCATGGCTCATGCACGCCCTCTCTGTGTAGAAGAAGACCCGTACGCACGCCAATGCGGGCACGGAAGACTACGAGAACACGCCCAAGAGCTTCGTCTTCAAGATGGGCAAAGCGCCGGGCTGTGTCATCAACCTCGTCCAGGACATGCGCCAGGTCATGCTGCCGTACACGGCCGACAAGCTGCGCGAGAAGCGGTAGATGCATCCTTCTGTACCTGCGTCGCACGTGGCTCACCGCGCTCTCGTCGTAGCAAAAACACAATCCAAGATTTCGTGCACGTTGCGGCGCCGCTCGGTGTCTCGCACTTCCTCGCCTTTAGCCACACGGACGCGGGCACGAACATGAAGCTCGTGCGCCTCCCGCGCGGCCCCACGCTCTCGTTCAAGGTCGTCGGCTACTCGCTCATGAAGCACATCCACTCGATCCAGAAGCGCCCCGTCGATGCGTCGCTCGCCTTCAAGACGTCGCCGCTCGTCGTGCTCAACAACTTTACCGGCGCCGAGGACCATGTCAAGGTAGATCGTATCCTCTTGTCCATCTCGTCTCTCATCTTCCTGCGGTGTAGCTGCTCAATGTGACGTTCCAAAACATGTTTCCGGCCATTGATGTGCAGACGATCGCGCTCGCCGACTGCCGCCGCGTCGTGCTCTTCCACTACGACAAGGAGACGGGCCACGTCGAGTTCCGTCAGTACGTCATCCGCGCCGCGCCGCTCGGTCTCTCCAAGAGCGTCAAGACGCTCGTCAAGTCCAAGGTCCCGAACCTCGGCAACGTCGAAGACATCTCGGACTTTGTGTTTGGGAACGCGCAGACGGGCATGACGTCCGATAGCGAGGTCGACGACGAGTCGGCGCACATTGTGCTGCCCGACAAGTTCCGCGGCCGCGGCAACACGAAGAGCGAGAAGAGCGCGGTGCGCCTCGCCGAAGTCGGCCCGCGCCTCACGCTCAAGCTCGTCAAGGTCGAGAAGGGCGTGTGCGACGGCGACATTCTGTACCACGCGTTCGGTACGTCGTGTCGTTGGAACTGTAAACCTGATGCTTCTTTCTAGTGCAAAAGACGCCGGAGGAAGCGGCCAAGATCAAGGCCCGCAAGGACATGGAGAACGCGCTCAAGCGCAAGCGCCGCGAAGAGCAGGCCGCCAACGTCCAGGCCAAGACGGACGCGAAGGAAGCCAAGAAGAAGGCCAAGGCCGACAAGAAGGGCGTCGACGTGCACACCAAGCGCCGCCTCTTGCAGCAGTACGCCAACACGGAAGATGTCTCGGACCTCGAAGACGCCGAGTACTATCGCCAAGCCGTCGGCGAAGAGCCGGATGCGTACATGTTTTCGGACCGCAAGGTCGCCGAGAAGAAGTCGCCCATGGCCGGCAAGCGCAAGTTCAACGACCGCAAGCCGCCGACCGACAAGTCGACCGACAAGCCGAGTGGCAAGCCGAGTGGCAAGCCGACGGGGAAGAAGCCGATGGGCAAGGCCTTTGGCGGCAAGAAGAAGGACTTTCCGGCCAAGAAGGGCGCCCGCGCGACCTTCAACAAATTCAAGGGCCGGAAAAAGTAGAGCGCTCGCGACACCACTCCTGTTTTTTTAACTCCTAACTCAAATCATCATTGCTACTATGCGTTCCATCGGCAACCATTACAGAGAACGCTATGCGTGCCACGTCATGCTCAGGTCAGTGGTCATCTCAATCTCCGACTACGGCTCGGAGATCTCCTACGACGGCTGGGAAATGGCAGAAAGTGCAATGACTCCGAGAAGTTGGACCTGGCTCGCTCGCGTCGTGCACCTTTACGCAGCCGACCACCCGACTTCTGCAACCGTCCTGGGTGTCAGTCTCTACTGCGTCTTGGTCAACGGCTTGCGCACGATCGAGGACAAGGGAGTCCATGAACACCCTCTTGGGCGTCCCCGTCAGCACTGCAGCATGTGGTTGGTCCTAAATTCTGGTTCAGTGATGCGACCAAGCCCTCACTGTAGCTCCAATCGGCACGACCCGTCTCTCGTTTGAGCGGATGATAAACGGTGGAGGCCAATACGTCCACGCCGCGTTGGTCGATGTCGAAACCACGTGATCACTTGGCTACGGAGCCGTGCCACCCGAGGTGCTTCCATTTGCTCCTTGGTGTGGCCTCAAACAAACGATGCAATGCATGCCATTTCCTCTCCCAGCGTGCATGGGCCTGCAGTATCTCTTAAAAGCTCGTGCTATCATCATGCGATGGACGCCCAGACCCATGTGAGACTGATGCTGCACGTAAACACATGTTGCTGTTACACACGACGCGACGGCCGACATTACGGCTTGTCAAGATGCTTGATGATCCGCGCCGGCGTGCCACCAACGACGACGTACGGCGGGACATCCTTGGTGACAACGGCACCGGCGCCAATGACGGCGCCGTCCCCGATGGTGACGCCAGGCAAAATCACGGCGTTGCCGCCGATCCAGACGTCGTTGCCAATGGTCACGGGATAGGCGAGCTCGGGGCCCCAGTCGTGGCGCAACTTGGCGTCGGTCGGGTGCGTGGCCGTGTAGATCGAGACGTTGGGCGCAATGAGCACGTTGTCGCCGAGCGTGACCTTGTTGCAGTCGAGGATCGTGCAGTTGTAGTTGATGAAGCAGTTGGATCCGAGAACGATGTTGTTCCCGTAGTCGCACCGGAACGGCGACTCGATCGCGACGTCTTGGCCCATGGACCCAAGAAGCTCACGCAAGAGCGCGAGGCGGGCGGGGTCCGTCGCATCCACGTCGTCGAGCTTGTTGAGCTGCGACCAGAGCTTGCGCGCCGTGACGCGCTTGGCCATCAGGACCGGGCACCCGCCGTAGTAGAGCTGGCCTTGGAGCATCCGGTCTTCCTCGGTCTCGCTGTCGCCAGCACGCGCATCTTGTGGCGCAGCGGGTGGTTCTTGTAGTCGTCCATCTTGAAAGCAAATCCAAAAGTGGTCGTCGCTGTAGCAAAGCCGGCGCATGAGCCAATCAGAAGCGAACACGACTTGAAGTTGATCTTGGGACAGCACATTCCACGCGTCTAAACAAGCGCAGCCACGTATTCACTTGTATTACTAAAAGCTAGAGCGTAGTAGTCGAACTGAGTCCAACTACAAATCAAGCGCGAAGATGAGTAGCTAGGCTTGGTTGCGCCACCCATACAGGTGATTTCTCAGCCTGGCGACGATGGGTCCACTTCAACCTGAGAAATCCAGAGTATTAAATTAAACACCCATTCTTATGGCTATTTATAGACACTGGATTTTGATGGATTTATTCGCACCGGGCAATCAGTCGTTTTGCGCGTCTATTGACACCAAGATGGACAAACGACGTACTACTAGTGCCATTTTCCAATAGCAAATACATTCCGAATGAGATCTCCGGTGTCACATGAGCTTGCTCTATCCCCTGACCCTCGAGTGTGTGAGATTTCACCAAACTACGCGGTCTTCGAACGTGAGACGCCAGCACTGTCCATTGTGGAGGTCTCTCCAGCCCCGTTTAAGCTCGGGGCACTGCTCAATGAAGCAGTGGCCCTCCGCAAGGCGACGGGTGGCGCCTCTGGCTCTGCAGGAATTCCTCCCACGAAGAGACGCAGCGGCAGATCTTTGTTTGCGGCTGTAGAGGAATGCAATTAAAGCGTCGTATATTACGCAAAGCAACGCAGACCTCGCCAGAATGATTCAAACGACGTTGTTGGCCACGTCCTATTCCCCTTGGCGATGCGATACCTCGGTCTTGAGCTTCGACAGCTTCAACGCGAGCGAAGGCAAGAGGCGCTTGATATCCGGGACGCACGCAATATTGTCTGCGTACCAGTCGACCCCGGCAAGGTGACGACGCACGCGGCGTCATCGACACGTCGTTTGGCCACATGTTCTTAGCTGATCGTACACGACGCAAAGGCGAGCTCAAAGTTGACACTCCATTCCCGCGTAATACACGTGCTTGCTATGGACCTACCACCTCGCAACACGTGGCAGACAACAAACGAACGTCGCTCTCCAAGACGTCCACACAAAAACCCCGCCGTGAAGTTTGCTCTCGGGGTCTGGCGCAAGGTCAGACGACGGCGACGAGGGATGCGCCACTACCCGACTTTTAGGCGCGTCTGGTTCAGTTTCGTGACCACGTGCACGCCCGCGCTACTGGTAACGTGGCAAGCGCGAAATATCGGAGACCTCGACGGGAGTCTGGCTCTGGTGTGGGCGCATACACTGGGAAGCTCACGATCTGCCAAATGTGGCCCATAAGGCCAAGATGGTCCATTTCATCATCCGAATACGTTGGCCAACGACAACACCCGCCTGCCGCAGCACGCGCCCCGCGTTGTGTACATGTCCATTGCACCACATGCAGCGTGCGCCGGCGTTGAGGTTGGTGTCGCAGCACTTGTGGGGCAGTGCGCCGTCGATGACATTGAAGCGGCCTCGGAGACGATGTCAGTCGGCGTTCTTGGGCAGCTTGGTTCCGAAGCCGGCGCAGCGCCGTTTCTCGGTTGCTAGCGTCGTCGCGTCCACATCGTTGATCGTTGTGGCTGCTGCGGCGCGCTTCTGCTGCCGGATGCACTTTTGGCAGTCACCGTCCATGTTGAGGCTACGCTTGCCTCTCTTGGGTGGCCGCGCAGAGCACGTCGACGTCGAGCACGTTGTGGGCGTGGCACCGCCCATGATGGCCCTCCGGTTCGATCTAAAGTGCGATCCTGACCCGCTCGATCGACACTGTTGGTATACCAACCCGTCGTTTGTGCTCGACACTCGCCGACTGACTACCATCCCGGGCGACGCTGATGCCATTGCATCCCTCGATATTGTATTTGAACGCCAAGCAAAAGGAAGCGGTCATCCTCGGCGAGTTTCCAGGTCTCTACGCCAACGACGCCCACGTAGTAAAGACGATGCCGGACTTTCTCGTGGCCGTCATGCTCGAAGAACGCTACGCTGGTGGGTTTATGTGGTCGATCAACCCCGCGTCAGCGTACATGTACAATCCAGGCTGGACCGCCGGGACGTTTACCAAAAACCTCGTCCTCAACGATTTACTCTCGCCCACCAATGCCTTTTTACAAAAGCCATTGCGGTGCCCCACCTCCGGTCGTTCCCGTGTTTTCCAAACGCAGCGTAAAATCGTCGTTTTGCTCCTCTGTTTCACGTGCTTTGGTCGCGCGCTTTCTCGAGCTGGACAAGGTCGAGCACTTCGCGCGCATGGCCCGACGACGTGAGCCACTCCTTGAACTTGGCCTGGACCGCTTGCTCCAACGCGCGCTTGCCAGCGCTCTCGAGGTCGTCTTGGGCGAGGAGAAGGCGAAGACTCTCGACGTTGGCGTGGAGCTGCTGCACGACCGCCTCGAACGGCGGCGGCAGCGTCAACGGTGGCGCCTACGGTTCGTTGAGAGGCAGCGCGTGGCATCAGGCGTCGACCTTGCTGACTGCTGGCGCCGAAAGGTCCATCTTGACGGGAATGCACACGTCGAGAAACTGACTTGGCGATTGGAGCACGATGGCGTCCTTCTCGGTCGCGTCTTCTACACTTGCGTGAGGCGACACGGCTTCGGAGTACTCTGTCGTACCCGGCGACGCGAGGTTGAGAAGCTTGTCCCACATGCCGGCGGTGTGCGGCACAAAAGCAAACTGACTCGTACTCAAGTGGTGCTCGAGCATCGGGTAGGTGCAGTTGTACGGGCCAACAACGAGGCCGCGGTTGTCGCCCGAGAAGAGGCCCCGTCGGGGTGTATAGACGTTGAAGACCGAATCCAAGCAGTTGCTACACAGTTGTGACGTCTTCGTATCTATTCCAGAGCATTGCGAGCGACGTACTGGACGCGAAGCAGTGCGGCGACGCCCGTGACCTTGACGCTCTCGCAGCGGTCGATCGAGAGCACGCCGTTGTTGGGGACGAGCACGATCTTGCAGTTGGCACACGCAACGATCGACACGTGCGTAGAAATATCGTCAAGAAAGCCGCAGCGACAACCTGTCCACATACAAGACGACAATGTATGGAAAAGGATATCGCACGGGGCCCAAAATGTAAATGAACGCGTCGTGGCAGGCAAAGATCGTGACGTCCGAGCGCGGCGTCATCTCGTCGGCGCGCTTGATGACCGTCGACTTGGCGATGTTGCTCAGCACAAGTGGGCTGTACACACCTCTCGCGTCATCATGTAGAAAAGAGGAAGAGGCGGTACCGCTGGAGGTGGATCGCGCCTTCCGAGTCGTCCATGTCGCCGCCGTCATGCAAATCAAAGGACCCGTGGAGCTGAAAGTGCATCGACGGCGTCAATGCAAACCCAATGGGTGGGTACAAAGCGTCATTGAGCGTGAGGTATTTCTTGAGCCACTTGGAGAGCTTGCTCGTGTACTGGGCGCCGTGGACCCATTTCGGGTAAATGGTGCTCAGGTAGTACTGCTGCTGCACGAACGAGTCGCCGCCCGCGAGCAAGAAGCCGACGACGTCGAGCTGCTCGGGGCGCAGAAGAATATCAGCAAACACGTTGCCGTCGCGCTGGACGTCGAACAAGAGCACAATGAGCGTGTCGAGGTGGTCCCGGATAAAATGGAGGTACTGCATTTCCGACTCGGACCGGTCCTTGAGCCCGATCGTGTGCGGCGACGCAGGGCCTGGCGAGTTGGGCGTACTCGGCGGCGGTGTGCCTTCGTCGCGGTGCCACCTACATGGTCGTGATGCATGCGTCGTTCTAACGCGCAGGAGCTCGTACACGGCGCTAAAGGCCGTCTTGGGCTTGGCTTTCGATGGTTTCTCCAGGTGGAGGTACAAAAAGATGGCGAGCTTGAAGAGCGGGACAGATTCCTTCGCATAGTAGTCTTCGTCGACGAGAACTGACGCGTCGTAAGCCTCCGCGTCCTCGCTCGGCACTCGGATGTGGCGGTGGGCCGTTGTCAAGACGAGCCAGAACCTACGGTCGTCGTCCAATGCTGCACCTACGCCATGCAGACACCACGTACGAGCGGCATTCGAGCTCCTTCCATTGCAAGACCTCGGTCGCGATCTGCTGCCACGCGTCGTACCTACACGCAATCGCATGAGCCATGGCCGGCGGGATACCGTTCCGACGGGATTAGTCGGGCGACAGTGCCCAAGGCTGGCGCCGGCGGGAGCTCGAGCGCGTGCAAGGCGCCAACGACTGCGCTGATGCTCGCTGGCGTCAGCTGCGCCAAGCAGCGCGACGCGAATGGCAGAGCAAAGTGCTCGAAGAGCTCCATGCGAACCCAGACCCGCGGAGCCATGCTGCCGAAGATGAGGTTTGGATAACCTCCAAGTGATATTAATATGCCTGATGGGTTCGTCCGGATAGACGTATCCGGCGCTCTGGGCTGCCATGAAATAGTCTGATTTGGGTGGCCCGCGCTCGGTACCGTGAATAGTGTAGTACCGTGTCGCGACACCAGCCGTGGACGGGGCATGCAGAATGTAGGTTTGATACTGGTTTTGCTATGCAAGCAAGGGAGCTGTCGACGCGCGCCATCATGGACCTGCTGGGGATGGTGGGATTTGGTCAAATAGTGTGAGTGAGAAATAGCGTGGGAACAGAAGCGAGGAATTTCAAAGTTCAAATTTTTCTTGCCTGTGGTCGCCGGGTGGTTCGAGTACGGCAGTAGAGAGCGAGACAAGACAACGAACGACATGACCTCGGTGAAGATGGAAGAGAGCTCGGTACGACGACGCTCTATATGTGAGGGCCTCCTTACCAGGGCCATGGTAGGTGAGCCGTCAGCTGTCGCAGTGCAACGAAGACGCGTGGATGACGCTGGCCCGCATCGCCGAGATGATGGGGGACGACGACAACATGCTCGTCTCGTACGAGAAGGCGCTGTCGCACAATCGCCTCAACACGGGTGCACTCTACAGCATCGGCTGCTGCTACGAGAAGTCCGAGAACTTCAGCAAGGCCGCCGACTGCTTCCGAAGCCTCGTCTCGCTCAACGAGCACAACAACAACACGGACGCGTGGGGCCACTTGGGCTACTGCTACATGATGCTCAACGATCTCGCCAACGCCCATACCGCGTACCAGTACGCCATGTACAACAACCCGGCGTCGCAGCGCGACCCGACCCTCTGGTTTGGCATTGGTCAGCTCTACGAGCGCTCGGGCGCGCTCGACCACGCCGAAGACGTCGTTTGACGTATGTCGCCATGGCCTATTGATAGGAAGCTCATCGAATGCGATGTAGGCTGTCCTGCGATTCGAGCCCCCTTTCAACATGGCGCTGGAGGCGCGCATCCGCCTCGGCATCATCGCCAAGCAGCGTGGCGACCTCGATGTGGCGGTCGAGCGCCTCAAGTCGGTGCTCTCGCTCGCGCAGTCGAACG